CGTGTTACATAACAGGCACTGGTTTAACCACTTGCCTCTGACACACATAATGTGTTTGTGTTTGTGTTGATGTAACAGCCTAAGATGCAGAGCGAGCCGATAACCGAGGGATGGGACACAAAGCCGGTGAAGGAGCTGGTGGGAATGACTCTGGAGAAAGTCGCCTTTAACCCCAACAAGACTGTTTTTGTCTTGTTCTGTATGTAAATACACTCTTCATTTAAAAACCACTCAGTAGGGCTGGACCTGGATTTGCAGGTGAAATGATGTCTAGACACTTGGGTTGATTAAGGGTTACACTTGGTTGAAAAGTGTAACATCTTGGCCCAGTTAGCAGGAGAAATGTTGGCATTGTACGTGTCTGCAAACCATAAACATTACAGTTGTACATTTCATAGGCATTACCAACATTTAGACCTCTACAGACCTCTGTTCCAGACCAACAAACAACAAAACCAGTTGTTTTAGCAAGTCATTGCTGTTTTTCCAGCAGCTTTTTAGCCACAAGACATAGGTGTGTTTTAGCCACCCATTGCCATTTTTCCACCAGGGATAGTGCCACAAAAAGCAGTTTTTTTGTTTTTTTTGCCAAGACAACACCTCGGTTCCCTGCTGGGATAGCGGCACGAAAAGCATCTGTTTAGTACCGAGACATCGCTGTGATTCCTGTTGGGATTATGCTACAAAAAATCCTTGTTTTTTTACCAAGACATCGGCAACTTCTCCCGCTATTACTGTGTCACCGAAAACACTTTTTTAAGCCCATATGTGATGTTTAATAAGTAAAGTTTCACTTAATCAATTACATAAGAACATACAAATGTATCAAATTGGTAGTTTGCAGACTCAGACAAGACCATTTTTTCTAGCATTTGGGTTGAACATCTAGACCAGTGGTTCCCAACTGGTCCGGCCACAGGGTCCAGATCTTTCCTTAGTCATTAGTTCAAGGTCCACACAGATTAATACATTCAGTGTCATACTTGCATTTGGCCATGTCATCGAGCTAGTTTGCTGTCTCTGTAAAGTAGCTGCCCATTAGTCTCTCACACTACAGCAGGAAACAGCCCTTCAAAATAAAAGCTCTGTGCTGAAAATTCACCACACTTAAAAATTTAATGGGCTTTTTACAAACTCGTCACATTTACAAGTCACTTGCGGTCAGGGTTGGAAATTAACTTTTTTGTCCACCTACCGCTGTGGCTAGTGGATTCCAAAACCTACCAGTCGCTCATTAGATTATAATTGTTTTTTTTGGCTGATGAGTGAAGTACATTTAGTCGCCATTTACATATTTTACCAGCATTTGGCTGGTAGCTGGTGCAGATTTCGTACCCTGCTTGTGGTCCATTCAGAATGGACTTGTGACCCACCAGTTTGGAACCACTGGTCTAGGTTACACGTAAGCATTGTTCTAACAGCAGTTTAAAGCTGGTGTAATCAAATGCTCTAGAGAGCGTTTTAGCATTTTTCAGCTAATGGTTTCGCCAACACTGTTCTAGCAGGCAGCTTTTCTCAGCTCTCATAAACCCTCTTCAAGCTACCTGCCCAGCACCAAACAGCGGACACAGTTAGCGACTAGCTTGTGAACACAGTGGAGCATTTAGAGTTAGATATTTCACTCAGAAGTTGATGGAGACCAAAAACAGAGCTAAAAGGAGGATGAACATTGGACTAGTATTCATCATGTGGCCAGAAACACAACTTCTAATTAATCATAAAATTGCTTCATCAATGCTGGATGTGTAAACAGAGAACTGCTTGTTAACGCATTTGGGACAGTAACTTAATGTCTGTTATGTTTTCACCTTGTTTTGTTGCACCCAAGTACCTAAATAAATCAATTAACACAGGTTTAAACAAAACAAAATTAGATGTCATTTCACCTTCAAATCAATAAATCCATGTATGCCTGGGTCACACTGCATTTTTATCATCTACTGTTTTCGTTTTCTTTGTGCTTTCTTAGCTTTACACTTTTGTTTCTCTGTGTTGCATCTTGCATTTAAACACCACCTATGCCTAAAAATCTCTACTACTAAATGTGTATTTCAGATCTCCCTTACAGTTCAGAGTCCCGAGCTCTGTTCCCACTGTGGGAGGACTTGGCCGAGGCCGTGAAGGATCGGGAGGACGTGGTCATTGCTCGCATTGATGCCTCAGCCAATGACATCAACATGTCAATGCAGGGCGCCTACCCATCCGTCTGCCTGTTCCCTGCTCTGTATGCTGAAAGAGTATGGAGCATCTCAGTTATTCTTTTTTTAAGGATTTTTTTGTGTGATATCTTCAATATTTCAGTTTTTTTAATGTGATGATTTCACTGTACAAAGATGTGAACTATTACAGAGATGAAAACATACAGTGTGCACACTAGGTTAGATATATGATGTGACACATCCCTGTGAGTCTTATTCATAAAAGTCGTTAATGATGGTCAAATGCCTGCTGAAAAATGTGAGTGTTATCTCTGCTCTGTGGGGGACATTTAACACATATCAAGGTAATAATGTTCAGTGTGTCTGTGTGTCTGTCAGATGGTGGTTTACAAAGGAAAGAGGAACGTGAAGGGCCTGGTGAAGTTTTTAGATAAAGAGATGGCGAAAGCCAAAAAAGACAGAGTTAAGGTAAACTGACGGCCCAAAAACGCTACCATCACTGCAGCGCTTTGAGTTTTTGTGACTGTGTGTTTGTCTGAGAGCTGCCTTTTTTATCTCTCTGTTAAAAATAAACTTCTTTGTGTCTGCAGGAGGATGAAGACAGGAAAAAGTACATCGAGGCAGCAAAAGCTGAAGAGGCAAAAAAAGCCAACAAAACCAAGGATGAGCTTTAACGCAGACACAAAGAGAGTACAGTGTGTGGGTGTGTGTGTGTGTGTGTGTGTAAGTGTGCACACCTGTGTGTGCGTATGCGTGTGTGGCTTTTGTGTCATACTTTTTAGGCAGTACACAGATCTGGTTTTATCTCCTCAACCAAGCTGTCATCAACCGTCTGTGCAATCAAATCCAATAAAGTCTTCAGTTAAAACTCTGATGGTTACAGGACCTTTTATTTGTTTAACAAAAATAGTTAATATTGTATCATCAAATTTATCGTAATGCAGAATTTCTGATAGTTCAGCTGATAAGTAACAAAAAATTGCAGTACAGAAATGTCAGATATGTTTGAGGTGATTTAGAAGCAGTGTCTCTATTGCACAGTTTGTCCACCAGAGAGCACTAATAAAGTTATATTTTAAATGTAAAATGTCCTTTTACCTTAGTCACATTAAAAAAGGAAAAGAAAGATATGTAGAAAATATGTTGTATTTGAATTTAACTACTTTTGGGCCACCAAAATATTAAATGTCAAGACATTTAATTTTCACATCAGAGCTAATGTTTTCTGGCAGTGTGAAACAGCATTTAAACGTTCATGTAGAGAAAATTAAAGGCATTTTATCTGAAAAGTTGACTGAATAAATAATCTACAAATTCAAATACTAACAACAATGTCAAGTCTTTTTAAGAGTTTGTGTCTTTGGCTTATCACCTGGTTAGCCAACAGCCCTGCTGCTCTGCCACTGGACAAAACTTAACATGTGTATAAACAAAAACTTAAATTTCTATTAATCATAATTTTGCTTAAAGCTAAACTTTGGTATTTTTCAACTTGAATCCTATTTTACCATATTGTATGTATAAATGACAAATATAGTCAGCAGTTTTTTAAAAATTGGTTCAGTGTGAAGCATGAATGCTGCAGCCAGCAGCGGTGAAACAGGCTGCGATGTAATCACCCATTGGGTACCGTCAATGTACGTCCACTAACAGTGCTTGTTTTTGCCACTGACAGACTCAGACTGTTATTCTAAGTGTCTGACATCATTATGAAGGGGATCCCCTCAGAGATAGACCCTCTTTATTAAAGAGTAAGATCCTGTGGCGCAAGGTAGTTGCATCAACGTACATATTACCCAACAATTATCATTGCATATCTGTATATGACAAAAAGCCAAAGAAAATAAGAAATTATGTATTTAATATTTGTAACAGTTTAGCATAGTTTATTTGGAATATGCATATAACTTTCTTACAGATGCTATTGATTATTTTACAAAAAAAAAAAAAAACAACCACATGACAAAGATGGGGGCATATCAAATCGCACTGTTTTTAATTTAATGCGAGTTATTCTTTGAACACAGGCATATTTTCAAGGTGGCAGTCACTCATAAGAGCCCATTCTCCACCCAACACATTGGTAGAAGGCCCCCTCTCTCTATGGGCAATTCATCCAGTTAGATGTGAAAATATACTGGCTTTGTACATGCTAAAATTACTGTTTATTTAAATGGAGTCTGGTGGGTTTTGCAATGGTGATTTAAGAGCTTTTATTCTGGTTTAAAAAAAGGGTTTTGCTCTTTAACAAAGCGTAGGGATGCTTTAATGTTGTCAGATGCTTAATATAAAAATCTGAGCCTGTCAGTGGCAAAACAAACACTTTAAATGGACGTAAATTGACGGTGCCAAATGCCCCAAGCAGTTACATTGCAACTGGTTTTGCTGCTGTCTGCAAGGCTCTCAGGTAATACTGAACCAGTTTCAAAAATCATTGCTCCTATTATTCACTTAGATACAAAAAAATATGTGAAAATTGAGTCCAGGTTGAAAAATACCCAAGTTACCCTTTAATATCTTCAGATTGAACCACAATTTAGAAAAAGGGTAACAGATTGTTACAGATTGTATCATCACGATAAGGTTCCACTAAGAGCCAGTAAATGATAATATTGAAATATTGCCAGCCCTAAATAATAACAGTAGACTGTATGGGAAATTAAATTTAGCATATATATTTTTTTCTGACAAAGAAAATCTTGCTATTAATCAGCCTGATCTAAAAGAATAAATAAATAAAAAATTAAGGTTGAACGCAAAATAATGGGCTAAATGTAATGATAAAAACACTGACAGTTAATTCTGCGGTGCAGCCTGTGATCTGTTCCCGGTGACGCGGTGTGACTTCACACGGAGGCTGGAGGAAGACACCGCCGCTCCGCGCAGCTCTCTGACCGTCTCCTCTCCTTCTCTCAGCGGGCGTCACGCTGCACTAAAGCCGGAGGGATGGAGCCAGCGGGCGCGTACGGCGCCGGGAAGGCCGGGAGCGTCGCCTTCGACCCGGTCGCCTTCTTCACGCATCCCCGGACAATCCTCAGACTGATGTCGTGGGTAAGTGAGCCTCCTCTGCAATGTGTGGGTTGACATCAATGGACAGGCCTACCTGCACCCCCCCTCCTCTCCCTCTGTCTCTCCCATTCACATTGTCTGTGCCTCGCTCCTTGCCTTTGTGTCAGGTTTAAATTCAAACAGCTTAAATCAGTGTTTTCATAAACAGGCTCAGTATCTTTGAGTTAAATCCCTGTTGTCTAATAAACCGAAATCATTTCAGTGATGCAGCTTCTGGCTGGAGCTCCAGGACCAGCGTCTGATTACCATATGTTTATCTGGAGCCTCTTTGTGTCTAGATGTGAACGCTTTGGATTTGAATGCCCCCTGAGCACCAGAATCTAACACCTCTCTGTGTCTGTGGTGTGATGCTGTGCAGCTGTGACTCACCATACAGCCTTTAATGTGCACTGGAGGAACTATGTGCTTTTTAAAACGAGGAACAGCAAGTTAACAGATGCAGATAATAAGAGCTCTCTTTCTTGATGTCTCTGTCTCATAATTCAATTCAGTTGAGGGTAATTCAGTTTGCCAATGTTCCATAAAACAAGATAAAGTACAGCAGTAAACACTGAATCAGGTCAAGGGGAAGCATTTAGATAGGAAAAAACACATATTACGAATTTATGTGATATTTAGACATTTACACAAATTGCTGTAGAGACTGGGCTGTAATGGAGGATCATTTTCAATATTGGTTATTCATACTGATTACTGTCCGGATAAACTAGTTAATTATTTGGTCTATAAAATGTGACAAAATAGTGAAAATGCCCATCAAATATGTCCTAAATCCAAACGTGATGATCATCAGACTGTTTTTTTTGTCCATCCAGCAGTCCATAACCCCCAGATATTCCTTTAACCATCACATAAGACAAAGAAAAGCAACAAATACTCACAAGTGAGAGGCAGGATTCATCGATTAGTGAAGTAATTGCGATAATTTTTTTGTGTCAATCGACAAATCAATCGTTTCAACTCAAACAGAGATATATAATGATTGGTAAATGTTTATTTTGCATGTCGTTGACAGTCCTTGTCACATGTTGTGTAGCTACATTACATCCAGTAAATAGTTACATGTAATTAAATTACAAAACTTACTGACATTACAGTTACTAATCAAAATGTTGGTCATTTCAAAGGGGTTACATCCAAATATATTCTTTTCAGTACAAAGATTATATGTAGAATATGACATTCAGTCTGTTGCCTTTCATCATGTCACTGTGCATGAATATCATCTTTTGGAATAGCCCTATTTACATGCATTTTTCAGCTTTATTGCCCAGTTTAAAACATTTGTTAGAAGTTAATCAAATGTAATGAGTTACATTACTTTGATGAAGTTATTACAATATTTATGTCACATATTATATTTCTTTATAACAGGGTAACCTATTACATTTCAAATGTAACCTTCCCAACACTGATAATTGATTAGTCTGAAGATTATTTTCTCATTGAATCCACTACTTGTTGGTCTATAAAATGTCATTGTAAAAAGTGTGCAGCACATTTTCCAAAAAGTCCAGCATGAGGTCCTCAAATGTCTTGTTTTGTCAGTCCGATGGTCCAAAACACAAAGATATTCAATTTACATATACGACCATATAAAACGGAGAAGTGCAGAAAATCCTCTCAACTGAGAAGCTGACACTGACGAAAACATTCTAAATGATTGATCAGTATAGTCTCACATTAATTTTCTATTAATTGATCAACCAGTTGTTTCAGCTCCAATAGAAAGAGTCCTGAAGGCAGCTCCTAGAGAGATCAAGTTAAAATCAAAGTTTGCTCTTTGCTTACATAGTCCTTAAATGAATTACCATTTTTATCAAACTGTGACTAAACTAACTTCAGTTAATCCCGGACTGGTAAATTGATTTTTGTTTGTGCTCTTCACTAGAAAAATTTGCAAAACTTAAGTATTGTACATTTAATAAACTCAACAAGTCCTCTCAGAAACAATGTCTGTGGAGTCACATTGCCCTTCAGTATTTCAAAGCTGTCCTCTCCCAATAGGTCACAGGTTATTACGACCCATATTTACATTTGCTGTTAGGCAACAACCTCTAGTGGCTGTAGTAAATATGGCGGGAGAAAAGGAGGAAGTCAGGTGACAGAGTCTGTGGGGGGAGGAGGTTAGGATGGATAGATGGGTCAAACAAACACAGGACTTTGTCCCAGAAGACCGCTGCTGTTGTTGCTATAAAACATTAAGTCAGTTAAGTTTTTTTAACACACATATATAACTTATAACGTATTTAACTGACATCACATACATAACATACTTTAAATATGTTACGTACCTGACATCGGTAAAATAATAAACATGTTTATTTTGACCCAAACCATGGACTTTCCTAAACCTAACCAAGTAGCAAACCTAATCAAACTGTGACCGTTTGACAACATTAACCATGTGTTTAAATCTGTGAACGTTAACAGTCTTATATGTGTCTTTAGTGTAGACCTCCTGCCACCAGTACAGCGCTAATTTAGAATATGCTCCTGCGGGTCATATTAGAGGGTAGGACCCACCAACCTTTGTGGTCGTATGGGTAGGGTTTGAGACGTTTTAGAGTTTTGGATATCCTTAAATCTCTGCAAATAAAAGGGAAATATAAATCTGCATGGCTTAATACCATTAAGAGCAGGTTAAAAAATGTCTTGTAATTTGGGTGAACTGGCCCTTTAATAAATTTTGTTTGATCCCCACCTCACCAAACTGGATAACAACTGAAAACAGCTGAGTCTACAGCACAAAGCATTACTGCAAAGTGAGTAAAACCATTATTGCCCATTACTCACAAAATATGTTTTAATTTTGTAATATGGGTGAACTACCCCTTTAAAACTGTTACATGCCTATAGAAGAGAAGTGTATCCCTGTACCCTCTGTGCCTCATCCACACACTGCCTGAAAAGTGTGTGTTTACACTGGTTGATCTGTGTGTGTCATGTTTGTATGAGGAATGAAAAGCATTCACACAGCAGCGTGAGCTCATTCTCTTCTGCCTGTTACAGTAATAAACCGGCTCACGTGTCTCCCTGCAGGTTTTCTCCATGGTGGTGTTCAGCTGCATTGTGAACGAGGGCTACATCAACATCGGCAGCGAGCGTTTGCTCTGTGTCTTCAACAACAATGCCGATGCCTGTAACTATGGTGTTACCGTGGGCGTGGCCTGTTTCCTCGGCAGCATCTTTTTCATGATCCTGGACATTTACTTCCCCTCTATCAGCAGCATCAAGGACAGAAGACGTGCTGTCCTGCTGGACCTCATTTTCTCTGGTACATATACACACACAAGCACAGTGGTGGAAAGTACATTTACTCAAGTATCATTAACTTCAGTATTTCTATTTACTGTTACTTTATACTTCTACTGTACTGCATTCAGAGGGAAATGTGCACGTCTCCCACCTCTGCACAGATATCATGGACTGTTGTTGAAGTATGATGAAATATGAGCAATATTAAAAAAACAAATTACAAAAGGCATGTTATAAACATGTTAAAACCCAAGAATATTAGAGTAATATCCTATTTTTTAAAAATCAGAAAAAATCCGGCCTTCATATTGATCTCAGCTTCACATCGGTGAAGTTTCGTGATCACATGGTGCGACATTAGACAGACATGTAAACACTCTGCAAAATACTTCAAACGGCTTCTGTGTTAGTTCCCACTATAAAAGGTGTCACAAACACCACATAACATAACCGTCTCAATGTTGTCACAGCTGGTAAAGATGATGCACATTCTTCTTTTTCTGACTCCTCTGTGTCCCACCTCCAGGTCTTGCCAGCTTCCTGTGGTTTGTTGGCTTTTGTTTTCTGGCCAATCAGTGGCAGGCCACCTCTCCAGACGAGCTGCCATTGGCCCAGGGCTCCGACGCCGCCAGAGCCACCATCGCTTTCTGCTTCTTCTCCATCCTGACCTGGGTCTGTATGTTTATACTGTATGTGTGTCTAAAACCTGCCGTCTGGCTGTGTGTACATTGATGTGTGTGTGTGTGTGTGTGTGTGTGTGTGTGTGTGTGTGTGTGTGCGTGTGTTAATCATCATCGTGTGTGTGTGTTCATCATCATCATATTTGTGTGTATATGTGTATTTCAGGGTTATCAGTGTCTGCTGGCAATGAACACATTTAAGAACATTTCCTTCATGGAGGACACGCAGAGGCTGCTGCCAAAGAGCCCTCCCACCCTCGCTTTAGTCTAACACACACACACACACACACGCACACACATTTCCATCAATGATACTAGTTTCGTAGTAGAATTGGCAAATTCAGAGTAGAGCTTTTCCAATTTTACGCTAGGCCTACATATATTAATATTTTTCCAATGCAGATATATATCACTATACGGCAAATGTATGCAGCTGTAATCCACTCATCATATGTGTAAAACAAAAACTGCAAAAACACCATCATGTTAGATTGTAGTAAAAGTTTTCTTAGAACTATCAATTTAGACCACAGATTTTTAAAAATCAATACATGTTCATTAGTTGTCTGAGTTCGATCCACTGATCAGCAGGATACATCTTGGTGGGGAAAGTGAAAGAGGAAGCCTGCACGTCTTTCATTACAACCACTAACTAAGGAGCCCTTGAACAAGGCTCTTAACCTGTAACTGCTCCAGTGGAGCTGCAGGTCAGACTGTGGCTCTGCTGGGCAGTTTTCAGGTGTGAATGTGTGTAACTGCGGGGAAGTGAACAGAGTGTTCCTGAAAAAGAGCTGCCATCAGCGAGACTCAAATAAAAGGTTTTTTTTCTCTCCCATAGAACAACCAGAGACAGACTGATTTATTATCCATTGACAACTCAATGGAGCTTGTTAAAACAATTTTCCCACCAAACCAATAGCAGCCATTTATCTCAGTGTCAGAGGTTGTTGGAGATGTTAGGTTGTTATTGTGTCAAGTACGTGTAGTCGATACAAAAGATCCTTTTTTGGTCTGCCAGGTTGTTTCTTCTCCAATAGTTTTGCGGCAAATTGTTCCAATTTTCCTTTTGATTTTGGCTCTTGACTTTTTGGGGAAGTTTAAAGGCGGTTACTTGTCATGAGCAGACCAACTCAGCCTGTGAAAACAGCTGCACAATGTCAAGTCAGTTTTATTTACATAGGCCAATATCACAAATCACAAATTTGCCTCCAGAAGCTAAACAGTCTTAAAGCGTACAACAGTTTGTCTTTCGACCCCACTTTTATTGTCGTCTGGCTTTCTAATGAAAAAATTACCTGACTAATGTCAGGTTTTATCTAATAACCTACAACAAAAATATGTCTTAGAAACTGGGAATGTGGAGTTTTAAAGACAAGGGGATTTACCAAGCAGGATAATGCTGTAAGATACTTTCAAGTTATTATGGGAAATGGAGGATCTAGCATTTCTGGAGATTGACACATATGAAGGACTAAAAAAAGGACTAAATTGCTGGATTTTTCTTTAAGAACATGTGACCCAAACCTTTGTACCCTGCTTCTTTCATTTCTTCAATCCTCCATCCTTCTGTTTCGAGTGCACGTGTCCAGGTTTACATAATAGCTCCTTCCCCACTGCAGGAACTTGCTGAAATGAAATGTGACATATAAACATCTTCATGGGTTCTGCTTTGTTTCTACTGTTCTGTTCATCTTGGGGACAAGTTCCTGGAACTCATTTCTGGCATGGCTCAAGAGATTATAATAAGTGCTGCAGTAACAGGAACTTTCATGAGCTGCCACTGTTGAGTGTGATTAAGATAGCAGTTGTGTTCTTATAACAAGGATGACAAATGTAACAACATTAACCATTATTTTACCACTGAATCTGTATCAAATAGGAAAACCAATACTTTGACAAAGAACAACAACAAACCAAGATGTCCTGGCCCTTGTTAGTATTTGGGGAGAGGAGGCAGTTCAGAACGAGCTGGAGTCAGAGATTAATGATGGAAAGATGCACCAGAAGATTTATTAGCATCTGGCAGACATGCAAATCCACACAGAGCCAGACAGTGCAGAGAAAAAAATTAAAAGGATTATAACAAGATTATAGAAAAAGTAGGGATCCCAATGGATCTGGTGGAGAAACTGTGAAGTGATTCGACATGCTGGATTCCATTTTGGGCCACAGCCCAGCTCGTTTATATCCACATGTCCTCATTTGTAAATGCTGTACGAAGTGGACAGGGAAGAACGAACCCAGAACCAAAACCCCACAAGGTTCTTAAAAGTTTAGGTTGTGGGAATCCCTTGATTATGGGTTGTTAGTTTTTGAGGCACATTATGGAGTGATTCTGGTGATGGCAGACTAAAATATCTCAGCAACTATTGGATGGATTGCCATGAAATTTTGTACAGACATTCACAGTCTCAAGAATGAATCCTACAGACTTTGGTGATTCTTTAACCTTCCATGTGGCGACATCATTAGATCAAGTTTTCTGTTTGTCCAATACATTTGTTTATGAACAGATTACTGCAAAAATAATGACATTTCCACCAGCTGCACTTTGTGTTTAGTGCTAATTAGCCAATTTAAGCATGCTAACATGCTAAAATTTAGATGGTGAACACGGCAGACATTACCTGCAACACATCAGCACATTGGCATTGTCACTGTGAGCATGTTAGCATGCTGATGTTACCATCCAGCTCTGGGAAGTACAGCCTCACAGAGCCGCTAGTATGGCTGTCGACTCTTGCTGTGAAGGTTGCTGTGACAGTGTGGCTCTAATGTAAACCAGTGTATAACTAACAGCCACTGCTAATACATGTGTGTGTGCATGTGTGTGTGTGTGTGTGTGTGTGTGTTACTAACAGGCTGTACTGACGCTGAGTGCACTGCGGCGCTTCTTAACCGGCAGCAACACGAACTTGTTCACATGGCAACACCTGGATCCTCCCCCCGGCAATGCTCGAGCTACACCGTACCCCATTGCCAACGGAGCTACCATAGTAACCACCAACCCCTATCAAGCGCCGCCCTTCACTGAAACGCTGGACCCCCAGAAACTCACACAGCAGAGACCCATGGCTCCTGCCTTCTAGAGACAGACAGACAGACAGACAGATGGACAGAGGTGTGAGTTGAGCGACACTGAATACGACGCAGGCACGGACAACTTCCTGCCTTGCTGATTGGTGGCTTTCCATCCTCTCCTGGGATTGGTGGGGTTTTGGGTCATGTGATGATGTATGATCTATTTTCACCATGGCAACTGCTGGCTTAGTTAGTTGTTACTCTCTGTGTCAAGAATACTGTCTTCTTTTGTTCATGCTCACACACACAGATATTGATGCACGCAAACACAGCTGTACTCACTCACACCTGGATATACGTTTTGCACCTGGAAATACACACACACATATATAAATATATATATACACACCTGGAGACACAGACTCAAACACACACACCCTTACTGCATGTTCATTCAGTGAGGTGCAGATTAACATAGATGTAGACCAGTGATGATGCTCCATCTGCCTTATTGAGGAATACAAGGTCTTCAGTGAAGGAAATATGGAGGACAGGGAAGCTTTGTAGCTCCGTTTATCTGCTTCTGTTTGCCCACAGTCAGTCTGACCAATCACAAGCTGCCCTGCAGACATGTGGCCTCCAATTGGCTGAAATTGAGACAAGCAGGCAGCTTGATCAATAGATCGCAACAAAATGAGTGTAGGTGGCAGAAAGTGGTACATTTTCTTGGCAAGAAAATAAAGGCAGGATAGCTTAATGCATTCTGAATGCTATAGTGTTTCAGTGTGAAATATTCATGTGATTAAATATTTTATTGTGATATGCTGAAGTGGTAAAAAGAAATATGAAAAAAAAATAAAATCTATCCACCACCACTGTCAGAGCTGTGAGTGTGCCTTTGTTCACATCATCTTTAAATCATTTCTGTTTTGCTTCTTGCAATGTGAGAAACTCTTTTTAATAGATAAAATTATGTATTCAGACCAAGATCCAGGGATGTGTTAGGCATATTAATCACATTAATCTGCTGGAGGACCATAATTAGGAAGGGTACTTGAGTTATTTTGAAGTTAGTAGCAACAGCAAGCAGCAGCTTTACTGTATGTTAACTTAATTTTGGAATGAAGTGACTTGAGTTGAAGTTATAGTATTGTGTAATAAAAAATTCAGAGAGATGTCATTGTATACTATATCATAAAAAGTCATTTAAAAATCAAATAACTGCATAGAATGCCAGAGAAACATCATTAGAAAATCAAAGTATAGGATGTAATAAAAATCTCTTGAAAACTTAAAACGACCTAATCAGAAGGATTTCAAGTAAAATGTCACGGTATAGTATGTTAGCAAAAAAAAAAAAAACAATAACAACTTTAAGGTAAAGTATGTTCTAAAAATCTTGTAAAATGATATAGTAAATTGTGTCATGAAGATGTTATGATATAGTATGTCCTAAAATTTTCTTGGAAAAGCTTATAGTATACTACAAAACTTAGAAACTCATAAAATGTCATAGTATAGTATGTCTTCAAAGTTTCACAAGAAATGTCATACTATAGGAAGTCTTTAAAAGCTCAAAAAATTAAGACATATAACAGTATGTCTTAAATTTCACAAAAAATTGTCATAGTATAGTATGTCTTCAACATTTTAAATGAAATGTCACAGTATAACTCCAAATTTGTCAAACTTTCAAAAGTAGTGTCATATTACAGTATGTCTTTAAATTTCATTAAAAAAAAAGTCATAGTATAGTATATCGTCAAAATGTCAGAGAAAAATGTCACAGTATAGTATGTTGTATAATATAAAAAAAAGTCATGGTATAGTATGCTATAAAATCTTGTATTTAATGTTGTAAAATTTGTACTATGACATTTTCAATGACATTTTTTTTTAGAAATTTTGACGACACACTATTCTTTGACATTTGTTATGCAATTTTGACAACGGACTTTACTATGACCTTTTTTATGAAATTTTGAAGACATGACATTACATTACAACATTTTTCAGAAAAAAGTCATAGTGTAGTATGTCTTCAAAATTTCATAAAAAATGTCATAGTATAGTCTGTCGTCAAAATTTCATAAAAACTGTCATAGTATGTCTTCAAAATTTCATAAAAAATGTCATAGTATAGTATGTCTTCAAAATTTCATTAACAAAGTCATAGTATAGTATGTCTTCAAAATTTCGGGAAAAAAAGTCTTAGTA